GAGCAGGATCTGGGAGGCAGGAACTGATACAGAGAACATGGAAGGGTGCTGCTTACTGGCTTGCTTCCTCTGGCTTTATATCAGCATGGATTACAAAACCCTGTCTCAAAAACAAAAACAAAATAAGCAAACAAAAACTTAGGTTATAGTTCAGTGTCAAAGTGCACTTGCAGGCCCTGGATTCAATCCCCATCACTGCGAGAGGAAAAACAAAAAACAAACAAAGAATCAGGAAAAAAAAAAAACAAGAAATGCAGTGGGGAAGACATAGTCAAACAAGGCGCTCACAGACAAACGCTGATCTTTTAAATATGTTCCAAATTCTTTATAACAAGTATATAAATGGATTCTTCATAGTTGTAAATGGATAGATGATTGATTGATAGATAGATGGATAGATAGATAGATAGATAGATAGATAGATAGATGGATAGAAATATAATTTTCTTCACAGCTCCGCTACAACCTTTCTTTCTTTTTTAACTTTCTTTATTCTTTGTGTCTTTCACACCATGCATCTCCATCCCATTCATTTTCTCATCCCTTTGTATCTGCCCTCTGCCCTTGTAATCCCCACCCTAAATAAAATAAAATGTAAAAGAAAAATATAGAAAAATCAATCTCCTCATGGAAGCTGTAGTATGACACGGTGGATCACACAGTAAATCCTTTTATCCGTGTAACTTTACTTGCAAATGTTCATTGCAGTCATTGTTCTGGTTCAAGGACTCTAGTGTCTGCTATACTATCAATGCTGGGCCCCCACTGGGACTCCACTTGGTTATGCTGTTGTTGCCCTGCATCGTGGAGATCTTGCAGCATTAGGTCTGCAGGACTGGTCCCTTCATGTGCTCCAGCAGATGACAGAGGTGGTGGATGTTGGGATGGATCAGCTCATAACCCTGGTTCTGGGCCTGGGTAGTAGCCGGGTTGGCCAGCTCACCAGCTCTCCCTTGTCTTGATCATCAGGATGAGCTCTACTTCACCCCCTGAGCTCTACTTCACCCCCTACAGCTGTGAGCAATGGGCAAGGCCAGTTCTGCTTTCACATCCTCAGGGTGGGCTCTCCTGCACCTACTCTATCAGGGCCAGCTCTACTGTGCTGCAGGAGTGGGGTAGGGACCACTCTTGAGTGCTGTAGCTGCTGAGGGGCAGGGCCAACTCTCCCACTCTTAGGACCTCAGAGCCAGTTCTCCCATCTGCCTCAGGTATTGATGACTGCAGGGAGGGGACACCGTCTCTCCCCTACCCATGCCATCACGTGACAGATGCATAACGGGACAGCTCTCCCATGCTCTCAGCTTCGGAGCTGGATTGCCCACACCTCCACCAACAGGCCATCACAACCTTTCTTACATCATCTGCTAAATATACTCTGTCCCTCCAGACAACACAACTATCCAGTCCCACCAGGTGTCCAAGCAGGAGGCTTGGTGACTTTCTCTTTCTGGAATAGCGGTTAGGGTGCTGGCCATAGATTAGGATTAAATGGCCGAAGGAAATGGCTCATTCACCCAGGGACTTTCTTCTCCCTTTCCTGGTTTTCTTTACACCTGGCAACTTTTCTGGGTTAGCCCCCAGAAAATCCACCATCTGGGATTCCAAAAACAGTCTCTCCCTCCAAAATGATCTTCTTAAACTCGAAGACACAAAAAGCACCTAGAAGAGTCTAAAATCTGGTGACTGAGGATATTATTAGTATTAGTGCTAGTGTTCGTATTATTGCTCCGTGTGTCTGTGTATGTTCATGTGTGTGCTTGGGCATAGGTGTGTGTGGGTATGAATGGGCCTATGCAAATGAGTGTGGGGGCTAAAGGCGACTTCTTGGGTACCTGCTTTGTTTGTGGTTATTCATTTTAAGACATGGTTTCTCACTGGCCTAGAGCTAACCAAGTAGGCCGCCTGGTGAGTCCTAGGGATCTACCTGTCTCTGCCCTCCCAGTGCTGGAATTAAAATTGTTTGCCACCAGACCCGGCTTTATTTTCACGTTAGTTTGGGGAACTGAACTCAGGTCCTTAGACTTGCATCTTGCTGCCTGAGCCATCCTCACAGTCTATAACATCGGCATGCCAGCCCTCTTCTGAAAGGTGAGAGTCACTTCATGGAAATGCAGGCCTCTTCCCATAATAAACACGAGGAAAGGTCTGATTTTTAACTTACTCTAGAAATAGCAACCTCAAAGTTAAGAGTTTTAAAGACTAGAGTTAACTTACGGCAAAGATACTCAAAAGATGTCTATTCTGCTTTTCAAATTGAAAGTTCAAAAAACATTAGACAATAACAAAACTGGACTAAATCTGAGCAATGAAAATTCCTCAGATCTGGTCAGGATTGAAGGCTGGATCAATGCCCCCAGGATCAAAGCTGGAATCCTATTGTAATAAAGAAACGGGGGGGGGGGGGGCTTTCTTTGTTTCCTGGAGAATACCTTCCCACACAATGCTACAGTAATTAGGACTTTGTCTCTAGGTTCCAGAATCAGGTCACTTTCTCAAACATCTCTAACTCTGTCTTGCCCTAGATAATCTATTTTTCATCTTTTCCCAATTTTTCTTTAGCTGTTTTCTCTCTTCTCCACCATTTTTAGGCCTGCCTCTCTGCCACTTGCATTCTGCAAAACCCACCACCTAGAAACTGGGTTCAGTTAGCCCAGTAATTCTGGTTCAATGGCTCCCCAAGAAGTCCCTTGTTGGTTGTAGTCCCTGGACATGAAGCACAAACTGGAGCTGGCATCTGGTCAGTCACCCTAGGCGGAGACTGGGATTATTGGATTCAAGCATGCCTCCAGCCAGAGGACCAAAAGGAGGCTGCTCAACCAAGACAAGACAAACAAACGGGTTTGGTACTATTTAAGTGCCTTTGAAAAGAAGTAGGGGAAGCATATATAAAGCTACCTGGGCCTTACCCACTAGTGCTATGCCCACACTATTCTGGGTACACTATTCTGTACCAATGCTTTCATAGTCCTTAGCATCTACAAGATAAACCATCCCTCCAAACTAGAAAGAAGTGGCCAGAACAGAGAGCCAAGCACTGCCCTTCTTCAGTATTTTCACCCAATCCAGGGGAACAAAAGGGCCAGGCTTTGTCTGTCTTTGCAGAGCCCCCTTTCGGCTACCCAACTCCTGGTCCCCAGTCCAGGCCCTCTCTGAGCCCCAGAAACTACTTAACATTTTACCCTGGGACTCCTGGCAGTAGCCCTTTCTTTATACCTGAAGCTTCTCCCTTCCTAGTCAAATTATACTGCACATTTACCTGGGGTCCCAGGTCTCCAACTGAAGGCTGTTTTAAGTTTACCTTCCCATTAGATTCAATATGACTGCTGACAAAGGTTAATAAGGAAAGAAACCCAGTTGTTTCCATAATTCTGGGCTACATGTGCTTCATGTCCAGGAGTACAATCAGCAGGAAGCCTCTTGGGGACCCACTGAACCAGAAGAATTATGGGACTAAGTGAACCCAGTTTCTAGGTATTGAGTCTTGTAGAATGCAACTGGCCTAACACAAAGAAGAAGAGAGAAAACATGTTGAATGGCTCTGCCATTATTGTACTAAAAGGCTCTTCACTATCCTGATGCATAAAACAAGATGTCAGTGTTTCCAATAGGAGTCTATCCCAGTCTACTAAATAAATCATTGTTTTAGGGATTAAATTCTTTTCTTTCTAGATTAGTGTTTAGGAACTGGGAGTGAGGTGGGCTACCCTACCTGGCAACCACCAGTGATCCCAGACTTGGAATCTCCTCATGACCTTTCTGAGTCTCAACCCTCCTAGATGTATCTCCTCCACCGAAACAGGCATGAGTCCTCCTGTCCTGCCCTGCCTACCCCCAGAGTTCAAACAAGGACAACCTTCATTAAGAACGTCTTTTATCCCTGGCCAAAGCAATGCCTTGCCTCCTTGTTTGGCTAATTCCTCTTCCCACTTCTCACTTCTTTGGCCAGGACCTGAGAACCATCCGTTCTAGGACTAGAGCTAAGGCAAAATCCTCGAAGGTAGCTCCTTTCCGGGATTGGAGGGAGCCATTCCCCTCCACCAACACACACAGTTTTAGCTGCACACCAGATAGTAAACAGTAATGTAATCCATTAGATAAAATATCAGATTCCTCCCTGGCTGTCATCCCCATTGCATTGTGAATGCCTTTACAGCTTCTTGACTGAAGATGAGAGAAGCTAGTGCATGTTTTCCACACAAATGGTGGAAAGTAATAAAAAAAAAAAAACTTCAAAGATGCCCTCCCACATAGTCGCAGCCTCCAAGCTATTTGCAACAAAAGCAGGAAAAAGGAGGAAGCTGGCAGTAGGCATAGGGTCAGAAGCGCACTCTTCCCGGTCCAAGGCCCCCTTTTCTTGGCGTATTGACACCGAGTTGGCGCAGGTCGGGAGAGTCCCGGGGATAGAAAGGGCCTCCTTTCCTGCTTTCCTGTCCGACACCAGTGCCACTGAAGCCAAGGCAAATCCTAGAGGACAGTTGAAGACAAATGGCGGTAAACATTCTTTGCTCTTGGCTGAGGCCCCAAAGAACACACGCCCTCCTGTGATTCTTGTTGATTGCCAACCCCAGGAACTGTAAGGCTGTGGGCTCTGTAAAAGGACTCAAGTGCAGGCAGAGCCTGGCACCCTTCTCACAACGCAGTCTTTCCCGCAGAAGAATGGGGCGTTGCCTCTCTCCCCAGAGCCTCCAGCCAGGTATGACAAAATAAAAGTGAAAGTCGGAGGCTGGCTAAGGAGCAAGAGGCACGATTAACCAAAAAGGCTCTTAATTTCAAGCCCAGGGTTTTTTCATTGTTACAAGGGGGAAAGTTAGCCATGGAAAGGAATCATAAGAAGGGCACGAGGCTCCAAGAAGAGGTCAATGCAAAGGCTGTTCAGTGAGGTTTCTGCAGTTAAACAATTCAGCCATCACCAGAGGGGTTTGCTTTCTTAAGAACACCCCTTTGGGGTTTGGGCGGCTCTAGCTACCAAAAAACGCACACTGCACGCAGCTCAGGATGGCGGCCAGACCTATGCAAAGTCCCATTCCCTCAACACGGCCGGCCGTTTTAGGAGTCCCCATGGGGGTACCAAAATCTGTCAGCTCTACGGGGTAGAGTAGCACGATCTCTCTCAGTGAATCCCCAAGGAGCAGAAACCCCCAGGGTTGCCGCTGGGGGCCAGGAGCTCCTACCTGCGCGGCAGGACGGGCGGGGCGGCCGCACAGGCGCACACCCCAGCCGCGCGCTCGCTCCCTATTGGTGAGACCAGGAGGGCGGGGCCGGCCAGACCCAAAACAAACAACCTGCTCCCGGAGAGACTCTGTGGCCGCGCCGCCGCGTGGCCTCGGCCTGGTGAACGCCCGGGGGAGCGGCGGCCACCTTGTTCCCCCACCCCCTGACCGTGGGCGCCCAGGCCCCGCCCCCGCCGAGCCGCCGCAGGGTTATATTGGGCCGGACCGAAGGTGGAGGCGAGATTCTGCTGCGGCCGGCCAGCGCGGACATGCTGCCCGGGACGCCGGCGGTGGCACGGCGGCTGCGGACGCGGTGGCCTCGAAGATTGGGTTCCATGGGCTCTCGAGGCTAAAGAAGTCTTATCCTCAAGAGTAGCGGGTACGCCATCGGACGTCAGCTCGGTGCCTGGAGGACGCCTGCCTGAGATCTGGACGTCCAACGAAGAAATCCTTCTGGACGCCTGGACGGATAGCAGATGCGCCGGTTTCTTCCTCTCAGAACGGAATCCCGAGGTTGCCCTGGCACCCGCTCCGCCGGGTGGCCCCTCATCCCTCGCTTTCTTTCCGCCTAAAATCTCTAAACCTCGGAGTAAGGACAGTACTGCACCAACTTTTGCTTCTCCTACCCTCAATACATCCAGTACTCACAACCCTTCCAAAAAATAACATTCCAGCGGAAAAGGACTTTCCTACGGAAAAGTGCCTCTCTCAGAAAGAGGCAGGAGCGGTACCTCCGGCCCGCGAGATCGCCACCCCGCGCGCCACTCGCTTCCTACGACCTCGCAGGAAAGGGGTACAGCGCCAGACGAAGAAGCACCAGCGCCGGCATGAAATTGGAGGTGTTCGCCCCACGCGCCGCCCACGGGGACAAGACGGGCAGTGATCTGGAGGGGGCCGGCAGCAGCGACGCGCCATCTCCGCTGTCTGCGGCTGGCGACGACTCGTTAGGCTCTGACGGGGACTGCGCGGCCAACAGCCCAGCGGCGGACGGCGGTGCGGGGGATCTGGAGGGCGGTGGCGGCGAGAGGAGCTCGGGTGGCGGGCCCAGCTCCCAGGACGGTTCCGAGGTGGCCGACGACAGAGCGCAGGCCTCCGCGACAGGGCCGTGCGCGGGCAGCGTGGGCAGCGGCGAGGGCGCGCGCAGCAAGCCCTACACGCGGCGACCCAAGCCCCCGTACTCCTACATCGCGCTCATCGCCATGGCCATCCGCGACTCCGCGGGCGGACGCCTGACACTGGCCGAGATCAACGAGTACCTCATGGGCAAGTTCCCCTTTTTCCGGGGCAGCTACACCGGCTGGCGCAACTCCGTGCGCCACAACCTCTCTCTCAACGACTGCTTCGTCAAGGTGCTGCGCGACCCCTCGCGGCCCTGGGGCAAGGACAACTACTGGATGCTCAACCCCAACAGCGAATACACCTTCGCTGACGGGGTCTTCCGCCGCCGCCGCAAGCGCCTCAGTCACCGAACGACAGTCCCCGCGTCGGGGCTGCGACCCGAGGAAGCCCCACCCGGACCCGCCGGGAGCCCGCAGCCCGCGCCTGCCGCCCGGTCCTCCCCGATCGCGCGCTCGCCTGCTCGCCAGGAGGAGCGCTCCAGCCCGGCGAGCAAGTTCTCCAGCTCCTTCGCCATCGACAGTATCCTCAGCAAGCCGTTCCGCAGCCGCCGCGACGGCGACGCGGCTCTAGGGGTGCAGCTGCCCTGGGGAGCGGCTCCCTGCCCGCCGCTGCGTGCCTACCCCGCGCTCCTTCCCGCGGCGCCGGGCGGCTCCCTGCTGCCGCTCTGTGCCTACGGCGCGGGCGAGCCCACGCAGCTGGCGTCGCGCGGAGCCGAGGTGCAGCCCGCAGCGCCCCTGCTGCTGGCACCCCTGTCCCCCGCCGCCACCGCAACCAAGCCATTCCGAGGTCCCGAGACCAGCGGCGCGGCGCACCTGTACTGCCCCCTACGGCTGCCCGCGACCCTGCAAGCGGCTTCGGCCTGCGGTCAGGGCCCGCACCTGTCCTACCCGGTGGAGACGCTGCTAGCTTGAAGTGAGCTCTGAGCTCAGCAGAGGGTCTGGGGTAGGATGGGGACTCCATTTGTTGAGGAGGTTGCTATGCAGGCTCCAAGGCTGTGCACCTTCCACTTTCCAGAGGAATAGAGTTGTTTGGTTTTTTGTTTTTAAATCCTCTTCAGACGTGCCTTAAAGTTAAGCATTTTGACCCAAGTGTTTTAACTTAGTCCGGAATAGTTTCCTTTGTCTTTTGTAAGGAGGATCAAAGCCGTTCTTTTCTATTTTTTGGCCAAGCCTGTCCTTTCCTGCATAAAAGCTTTCCTCTCCCTCCTACTCCTACTATTTTTGTTGCACCTTCCACTGATTTATCTTTCCCACCCTCAAAAAAAGAAAAAAGTACATCAGGGAACCACTCCATGGGATAAATGATATGACTACTGTTTGGGGTTTGGGGGCCCCGTTGGGTGTGCGCATGCGGTGTTCACAGGCGTGACTGAATGTGAGAGAGCTGTCAGTCTTCGGACATTTTCTCTGCTACCAACCAATGCTTCACTGTGCCAAAAAAGGGGGAAATGTTGTTGGGTTTTGTAATTAAATTATTTATATATTTTTGGAACCTGAATTGAAATGTTGCAGGCAACGGCTACAGCTTTATTAGTGGTTACCTAACTGTGGTCTTCTTGGGCCAAGCAATTTCTTTAAAGGAGAAGTTAACATTATGTTTGCGGGGTGCCAGGGCCACCACCACATGAAACCAAGTGTGATTTTTATTTTAATATTATTTGTGTCTGTGTATATATTCATGTATAAATTTTATGAAGCCCAGGCATACTGCTTGTTTTTTTAATAAAATTAACAATTGATCTACAAAACACTTTGTGGTGATAGATTGGGGTAGAGATTTTTACCACAAGCCCCCCCCCCAAAAAAAATGGGTTCAGAGTTGAGTCTCAGAAAACTTCATACTGGGATCAAAATATTTGTGGTTTTATTTTCAGATATTGCTTTACAATATCCTGGATAGGCCTTCCATCAGTAGGGTTCCCTAGATCAAAGACATGCAGGAGTTAGCACAAGGCATAGATCTGCCTGTCTCGCTCCCCTAAGACTCTTGAAGCAGGCCTGTTGAACTATGTAATGAGCTTATAGTCAGGTGAACATTTTCAAGTCAGTTGACTGAAGCTTGAAACTGGATCTTGGCATAAAATTAATTCAAACCACCAAAATTGTCTTAAGGCAATTTTCAGAGCAACTTGAATGTCAATGTTTTTTATCAAAACAAAACTACCTCTTAGTGAACTAAAACATTTGCCTGGGTGTGAACACGTAGGTGTGCACATTGATTTCTTGGTAAGCTCAAAAGCAACAGGTCCCTAACAGTTTGCACACTCTGGAATTCTAAAGAACCGTGCAAGGGGTGAGAAATCCAGAGAAAAGAAACTTGGGCTTCCTTGCCATCCCTTCCATTCTTGGGTAAATAAGGCCTGTCTTATCCCTGACTGTAAGATGACCTGGAATTTAAACATTTCAAGGTGAAGAAAGCAATGAACCTGTTGGAGGGTGCTCCTTCTTGGCACAGGCATAGAAGAAAGATCATGCCTACATCTAGCTGACCAACGAGCCTTCACTGATTGAGGCTCTAGCTACTCCGTAATCACAGCAGTGATACTAACAGGATTTAGCTGTTGCAAAAGGTAGACACTCACACCAGCAAAGCTGATAATGAGATGAGAAGATAAAGCTGGGGCAGATCAACACATGAGGAAAAAGCGGGCAGGTTCCGTTCGTTCACAGCAATCGTGTTCGGCACTACTCCCAGACGGTCCTCCATGAGTTTGAGAGCAGAAGGCAGGGGTTAGTTTGCAGTCATCTAACTTCTACCCACCTTCTCTCTGGTTAGGCACCCCACCTGTGCAGTGTGCCCCTGTGTTGCAAAAGCTGATTTGATGATCCTGTCCCCATTGATACTTAAACTCTTTTTTTCTTCAGATGGTATGTCTTTTGCCACTTAGTAAAATCGCTGTTTATGTCAAAGAATACAAAGAACAATTTCAAAGAGACAGGGAAAGGTGGTATTTTTTTAAATCACAACCGCTTCTCCTACCCTCAAAAGAAAACAATCCCTTCGAATACGCCATGAGTCAACACACTGCGGTCCCTCCTAAGCCTTTGTCCCTAGGGACTGAAGGGTTTTCAAAGGAATTGTCAGAGTCCTGATTGTGGCTAGGTTGGGCTTTTCATGGTCAGTTTCATATCCCCTGCCACGACTCAAAGGAAAAGGCCCCCAAATGCGATTTTTGGGGTGCTGGGCTGCCAGGGCCAACAGAACAGCTTCCCTGCAGGGGTAGGGTGGGGCACTGTGCAAACACTTTCATTTCAGGCCACATTACAGTTTTGCAAGACAGAGAGACAGACCTTCTGAGCTGAAGCTTGGTCACTTTGCTGGTAGGATCAGCTGCAAGCTCAGCAGCTTCAAACCCTCACGCCCAGCATGGAGGAGATCACAGGGTTTGGAGTTTCCGAAGTAGGACCAAGGACATAGGGCATAGTAGCCCTCAGTCCACCATCACTCCTATTGCCTGGAGCCCTGCCTGCTGCTGGGCCACGGCCATGAATACAAACACCAGCTAGTCGGACACCGGTGCTGACCCACCGGAGCTGACCCTGGGCAGACAGAGCAGGACTAAAAAGGGTGGGTGTCAGGTTTGGTTGAGGAAATGTCTTTTGAAGGCTGCCAAGCCTGTCGAGATGTAGGGCTGGCTGCTGGTAAAGGCTCAAATGAGTTTTCAAAGAACTCTCCTAGTTCCTGTCACCCCCAGACAGCTCAATTCCCAACCTCCTTGAAAATTCCAGGCAGGTGAAAGACTGTGACATGGTGGAGGGGAAGACCCATGTCCACTCAGTCTTCCTACCTTGGCTGACAGCCAGGGACCAAGCCTGTCGAGACACGGAGGTCTCTGGAAAATGACATCTCCTTCCAGTCAGCCAAATTCAGTCTTCAGATCCCTTGCACAGTACTGTTCTGGTCAGTCAGAAGGTGATGAGCTTGACCAATGTTAGGCCAAGAGTGCCCAGTGTTTAGGAGTTTCTGTGGCCTAGGTGAGCTGGGCGGTGGGGGTGGGGGATTTCCACTATTGTGGGATGGTTCACTCCAAAGCCCCCAGCTTCTGGATAAAGAGCACACACGCTCCTTCTAAAACTGAGTCAGTTCTTGACAACCCCCACTCCTATCCAATCTTCTCCACAAAAACCAAGCGCCCCACCAGCAAATAAAGATTCTGCTAGAAGCTCAACAAAGCTCTCTAGGGTTAGCCTTGCTGGCCTGGAAGCGTCAACAAGCAAAACTGACTGTGTCGACTCTCACTCACTCTGAAGTTTCACGAATTACATTTTTCTGCCTCTGGGTATGTATATCAACATACAAAACAAATCCACAGACTGTCGAATAGACTCATTTTTGAATCTAAGAAAGAACACTCCTTTATTTATAGAAACACAGTGGCCTGTGGGCTGGCTATCTAAGTATTCCACTCTGACTGACAGACCTGGAGATTGCAAATCCCGAGTTAGAATTCCTTTTACAATGATCCAGAGATTTCAGACCCAAACACACTTTGGTCTGAATTTAGCTGAACGACATGAAATTGCCTCAGCTCACTTCTGTGATGATGATGAGCGGATTTCCCAACTGGCAAGTGGTTCTCTCATCGCCAAAAACTTACTCTCTGCTCCTTCCCCCATACTGTCCTTTTTATCTCCCACAAAGTGGCCGCCGGCATCTTAGACCAGCCCTTCACTCCACTGTGCACGCTAGAGTCAGCACTGATTTTTACTCCCTTCTATTGAGTCCAACGGGTACATTCCTGCAGACTGCAACAAGCAGGATTCTGCTTGAAAGAGGGCCTTCAAGGACCTGCCTGTGACCCAGAAGTCCCTCCTCTCTTGGGACAAGCAGCAGAGTAGATGTGCCTTCCCCACAGTCATCCCATACAAGATATCAAGCCAAAAGCAAACAAAACCAAACTCTGTTGTACATTAAAAAGAAAGTAAAATGTCCCTCATTTTGTCCAATTTTTAAATTAAAAAAAAAGAACTCAATATATTTACATTCACAGTACTAGGAGGGGATGTCCACTGACACCCAATGTAAAAGGATTTTGCTTCTCTCTGTTACTATTTTATTGTAATTCTTTTGACCACAAAAGCTGAGCTTTGCCTCGATTCTAGAAATTAGACTCTAAAGAGTCTTTCTGTAAATATTTCGTGCTTTCCAACACCACAATATTCCTCTCTTAAGTAACAGACTTTATAGTCCCCTAATGAGACCATTAAACTTTTGTTATGCTTTAACAACATAATTTGTTAATTCTTAATGTTGTCAACAAATGGCCCTAATAAGTATCTTCCAAGAAGACCATGATCAAAACCATAGAGCTATAACTCGCCCCAGATTTGAGATCTCTTTCAACTTGGCAAGGATTCTGGGGTCACGAAGCACCGGGGACAGCTCTCGGACCCCGTATCTTTTCAGCATTATTGAGATGGGCGAGTGATTAGAAGCAAATGTCATTCCTGTCATTGGTCAACTCCTGCACAGACTGGAAAAAGAACGGCATCAGCCTTTGCTTTGGGGGACCTACAGCGAAACATAAGCATCCACATGGACCGCGCTTCCCTTGCCTCTCCTAGACCTCTCTGTGGCTCAGGAACTTTCACTCTGAGAGCATGCTGCAACCGAGCCCTTTGATCACTTCTACCCTGTGCTCCAGCTAATGTGCAGATTCAGTGTCCCTGCACACATTTGTTACTTCTGATAGCCAGTTTCTAATGACTGGGGGAAATGTGGGAAGATTTTACAATCTATTAATGTTCAAGTCTCTCTCTCTCTCTCTCTCTCTCTCTCTCTCTCTCTCTCTCTCACACACACACACACACACACACACACACACACACACCATGCAAAACCCACCCAGGAAGGAGATCAAAACAAAAATGCTAAGGAGGCTCCATCTGAACTTCAGTTGGGTCACCCTAGGGAAGCGATCATCCCTGTGGCCTTCGGTAGAACCACAGCTGGGAGAGTCGTGCCTTACACGCTTCTTACCATTGGCCTCCATGAAAACTCCCACACAGTGTCAAAGATGATAGATAGGCAGGTATTTCTTTCTTTCCCCTACACTCAGTTGACTTGGGGTCAAGTGCATATTTCGGTGCAGCAGTGTTTCAGAGTATGGCAGCATTGCAAGTCATAGTTAGAGTTCTCCCAGATAATACGGAATCTATAGTGACTGTTAACATAAAGAACACTTCCATCTTGTCATTCAGACTTGGTACAATGTGTATTTACAGTAATATTTCCTCCCAATGCATTCCTGAAGATCCTAACTTCTCACTGAAGCCTCATTTCGGGGAGATAGGCATAAAACACTGGCATGCTACTTTCAGGGGGCAAGAGGCAGAAGCTAAGAGACTTTGGGGCTGTTTTCAACAGACTTCATCATAAGTAAGGCATTTAGGACTCAGACACTGAGTTGAGAGATCAAGTCGGTCCTTCTTTTGTTCAAGAGGCAATTCTCAAGACTAAAGAAATGACACACCTTAAGACTACAGGTAGCACTCAGAAGCCTGAGGATGGAAATACATATGTCCACAGGCCTTAGATGCAACTTAAAAAATGTACTAGTCATTAATTGTGAGAAACTTTAGGGAAGATAAATCTGGGAACTTGAGAAAAGTCCTAAGACCAGCCCAACTAATAATCCATATTTAGACTTAGGAAAATATATCCAAAGTTACACAATTGTCCCTACAGAGTGAACTACTCTGGGGGTATTGCTATTTTTCTGGGGTAGCCCGCA